TGTTGATGTTTTGTTTAGTAATTCTATTTGCTTGTAGTCTTCCTTGGCAGGGACTAAAAGCCGGAACTAAGAAACAGAAGTATGAGAAAATTAGTGAAAAGAAGGTTTCTACTTCAATTGAGGTACGATGTTTGTGAATATTGTGGTCGTATGAAATTTAGACGTCATGTCTCGCATCTCGTGACTGGAGAGTTTAATGATTTCACAGGCATTGTGTCGTGGTTATCCGACAGAGTTTGCTTCGTATTTCCATTATTGTCGCTCACTACGATTTGATGATAAGCCAGACTATGTTTATCTGAAAAAAATATTCCGCGATGTCTTTATTCGTGAAGGTTTGAATTCTACGTTCATTACAATGAGCATTTCTGAGTGCATTTACACATTAATATAATTTTCGTGTGTGCTTGTATCATATTTTTACACTTTGGATTTTGTTACAGGTTTCCAGTTTGATTATGTGTTTGACTGGACAATTTTGAAGTATCAGCAATCACAGCTGGCTACTCCTCCAACCCGTGCTCTTGTAATTTCTGTGTTATGTTTTACTTTGTCTTTTATCAGCATTTATGCATTTGTATTGACATCTTGTTTGATATAGGGTCCTGGTGCTGGAACAAGTTCTGGGATTCCCCATGCTGCTGCAAATGTGGACAGGCAGACAGGTAGTTGTTTAGCATTGTTGAATTTAAACAGTATTCTTATAGATTGGCTCATTCATTCCATTGCATGTTTATTTTTTTTTTCTCCTGTCTGTTTATTTTAAAAGGCAATCTTTCCTTGGCATGTTCTTTTATAGATATATTGAGTTCCTTTGTTCACTAGTGTAGTGCTAAACTTATTGCCGATGGTTTTCCAATATTTGGTTTGATTTCTTTTGAAAGTTGTAAATAGAAGCCGACTCCTGCATAAGCTTTGGAGTTCATAACATTTGCTTTCGGACTTCCTTGCAGGCGAGGAAGATGGGCGGCCAACGGGTTTAACTTCATTGGATTCTTCTCGGAGGAGAATACCTGGGCCAGCTCTCAATTCCATGAGCCTTTCGAAGCAGAAGAATCCAGTTGCTAATGATGCTCCATTATCTAGAGAAACTCTTGTAAGTAGTTTGGAATGCATTTTTTTATAAATTGAAGATTTCCCTCTTGTGCCCGTATATATATATCAAACTGGGACAGTTAAACAAACTTGCTTTAATGCCATCTGTCAAAAAGCTTATCTGCATGCTTGGGCCTTGCAGATGTCGAATAACAATATCTTGGGCCGGTCAGCTGGATCATCAAGGAGAGTTGCTGTTTCTAGCAGCCGTGATGCATTTGGTGGAAGTGAGTCTGATCCTTATCGCACTCGTACAACCGATGCTAGTCCTGGAGCACACAGAATTTCGAGTGGGCGAAGAAGTTCACCGGTCGAGTCATCGGACCCCAGTAGGAGACATACCTCGCAAAGCAGGAACTATGAAACAACCCTTAAAGGCATTGAAGGTCTGCATATAGACAATGAGGAGAGGGTTCATTATTAGAGATGCTGACTTTTGCAGGTTGCTGTAAATCGTAATTTGATTGTTTTGCTTTCTTCAGATTAGGTTTTAATACATATCAAAGGTGAGAGTCTGAGAGGCGATTTCGTTTGAACTCAGTTACCCATGCAAGAGAGCTGAGTGTTTGTTGCTTCAACTTGTGCTTTAACACGCCCATCTATTTGCGTGATAAACAATGTAAATTTTCTTTTTCCAAAAAGTAAAATAACAAAATTGTTAAAGAAAAATGTACCCTTGTTTGCATGCTGTGGCTTTTCTTTTTTGGGTTGATATTTTTTACATCCGAGTTTATAATGTTCTTTTACTTTTCAGAAACCGCAACTAGGATGCGTGATATTTCACATTTTGTTTTCCCACAGCCAGCTGTTGTATTAATCTTTGCTTTGTAAATTGTAAAGAAACTTATTTCTTGGGTAAGGAGTCAAATTAGCTGGTCCACATCTCATCTTTGCTGAGGGAGTCAAAGTTCTACGCTTCCAAGTAAATCGTTTCTATACAGCCCCATGAGAGGTATGTTAGCCTTCAACCTACGACAGGGATTTCCAAGATAGAATGTCTTTAGTCTAGTTGTCGTAGTTGTCTCCACTTAGTTAAAGGAGGTCTCAGGTTTGACTTGCATGCGAGCGAGGATGATCAGTGTTTGCAAGAAGTTCGATTCCAAATTGCAGCTTGCCCCATAACTTTGTTGCAAGTGCATTATCACGTTGTAAAAATATTTTTGTAGATATAATATTGTTGTTTATTTAATAATTTTTTGTTTTTTAAACATCCTTGTTATCAAAACTGAAATGCAAAATACTTAGGGTCCATTTGATAACCATTTTATTTTTCATTTTTCATTTTCATTTTTTGTGCTATATTATAGAGGAAAATGAAAGTAAATGGGAGTGAGGATGAGATTGAGAGAGGATGAGAGGGGATGATGGGAGGAAGGAGTAACAAAAGTGAAAACAATTTCAAATAGATTTCATGTTTTAGTTTTAGTTTTCACTTTTGTTATTCCTTCCTCCCATCCTCCCTTCTCATCTTCCCTCTTAATCTCATCTTCATCTCACTTCCATTCTCCCTCTCTTTCCTCTGTACTCTAGCACAAAAAATAAAAACTAAAAAATAAAATTGAAATGGTTATCGAACAGTCACTCAGACAAGCCAAATCCAGGCTTATTGAAAAACCAGCATTCACTGTCCTCTTCCATTTCCCCCAAAACACATTCAAGGCGTGGGTACACAGACGAGAGATGGATAAGCTAGCCTAACAAGGCAGCAAAGAAGAAAAGAAAACTGAAACAGCAAAACACAAGAAGGGAAAAAGAAAAAAAAAGCAATTGGCCACAATACCAGGACCCGAGGCCTAACATTCTCTCTCTCGTTCTAAAGGAGACCTTTTTTACAATGTCGCTATAGAAATAGCTTTAAGAATCAGCCCCTTCTTCAATGTCAAAAATCCGGTTGAGGTCCTAAACTTTTCTAGATTCTGTAGCATCATGCAATTCATGTCCAAACCAGCAAAACCATAATCGGAGAAACCAAGATGTCATGAGAAAACCTATAAAGAAAACTATGCTAATTGCTTGTATTGTTGTATTTGTGCCATCCTCTTTTTGGGTGAGTTTTCGTAATGAACAGAAAAAAAAAAAAAAAAGCGCACTTTGCCCCTGTAATATTCCTTACAATTTGGATCCGAATTTTATAATTTTCATAATTTCCACCATAACCACATCAATATTTGCTTACTTTGAGACAAGTTATGTTCTTAGCAGAAACCAGCAAACAAGGCTTTGAATAAAAATGGATAGAATTTCAGATACCAAACATCCAGAAATATACACATATTCATCGACAAACATATTACCACCTCATTAAATTAACTTTATAGAATAAACCAACACTAACAAACATTAACACGAATTAAACCACCAAATAATAATATATTCAGAAAAATGATTTACCGCCCATAGACCACTCTGTTGCAGGTTTCCTTGACCCACCTGAAGCTCTTCCGGAGAGAGCCTTTGAGCTTGCCTTCCACAGTATAAACCTTATAGCTAGCGACCCTCTTCTTCCTCTGCAGCTCCGGATCATTAAAGCTCCAGCTTTTCGAAGCAGACCCATTTGTGGACTTGCCCTTCTTGAACCTATGGCCATTGTTGCCCATCTGGGTTTGGGTCGGCGGCTGCACTGAAGACGCATAGGAGGCACTGTAACACCTGAGATCTTGCATTCCATTGATGCCGCCGGAGGAAGTGGGCCCCGAGCCATTGCCGCAGTAGCTCTCTATCTGCATCATTCCATGCCCGCATGATTTGGATCTGAAATCATCCATAGCTGCTTTCACTGAGAACTTACGGAAATCTGAGCTCACTGTCTCTGAAGCTCCAGTCAATTGGTCAAATGAGAGCTTCTTGGGGGATCGTGGCATTTCCGCCGATCAATTGCTTATTTAATAATATTTATTGTTATTCTTATATGATTTTATTTCATTCTTTAATGTGGTTCGGCGCTGACTAAGATGCCGACCCGTCGGTGATCTGTTCACGTGAGAATCTCGTGACTCAGGACAGCGACCTTATGGGAGTTTGCAGTGTGTTTTTCTTTTCTTTGAGCATTTCAGCGGTTTAGGATAATGTATATTTTTGTAATTGGGCCCACTGTACTGTTGCGATGCTGTCCGATAACATGTAGAAATACTGTGGCAAAATTATTAAATAGAATTAGTACTATAGTGAACTCACAATATTAACTGAATTTTGATATTTTATTTCTTTACTTATGTCATATTCAAACTCTTTACTATGGGTATCTATCAACAGTATTTTTGTTTTTAAATAGCACTGTTACTATAACAAATTCATAATATTAACAGAATATTGATACTTTATATATGATTGTTCGCTATTAAATAACGAAGTCTATCTCTTAATCGTTGAATCAAATTTAAGAGATAGAATTTCATCTAAGGACTTTATCATCCAACGATTAAGAGATATGACCTAATCTAAGAACTTTAAATAAGGCCCTCACTATAGAATGACTCTAGCATCAACCACCACCTATCTGGATGATATTTGATATAATAAAGTTATTTGCCATTTGAGAACATTGTTACAGTAAAAGTGACATTTAGCCTACCGAGATGATATGATATAACTTATCATCCAACGATTAAGAGATATGACCTAATCTAAGAACTTTAGATAAGGCCCTCACTGTAGAATGACTCTAGCAACAACAACAACCTATCTGGATGATATTGATATAATAAAGTTATTTGCCATTTGAGAACATTGTTACAGTAAAAGTGACATTTAGCCTACCGAGATGATATGATATAACGAAGTCATTTGCTATTTGGAGAGTATAAATGGCATTTAAGATGATAATCGTTGTATACTTTTCTTTCTCCACAATCAGTTGTAACATCGAAACAAAAGCATACCTATATTTTATAGGAGACAAACAGGGAAGATGATAATGAAGGCGTAACCTGATCGAATCTGAAGCATTTACAAATTTCCCATCTAATTATATACCAGAAAAACTAAACCAGGTAATACAGTTGTGTCGCTACTCCCTGTTAGATAACGATATTTCAAATGTTTATATAAAATCAACTGAATTAACCAAAACTATGCGTAACATGAAAAACGTATGGATCATGAAAACATTGCAAAGGAAGCTGCGACACTGACAAATGATCGATCACTGGGAGCAGCGTAAGTCGCTTCCGGAACAACTCGATCCACACCTTGAGATAGAGGAGTCAAAATCTTATTCAGCTTTCCCTTTTCGATTCATCAAGTCATGGTAATATAGAAGCAGACACATAGGCTGACCAAGGATGCAAAAGATGAACCAGAAGATCATATTTCCAACCTGGAAATAACATTTCAAAAAAGAGATTAGAAGAAATATAATGATATGACAAATATTGAATTAATAAAAAGGCTAAACAGACATACCATCGAGTTTCTGAATTTATCTTGCAGGTAATTTGTGATCAAGACAAGCGGTACCTGCAACAAAAATGCAACAAAATAAACGCAATTTAAAATAATCATCTCATTCTTTTTTTTTGCAATGCAGAGTGCAAACAATACTCAAAGCAAGGAAATTAAAATGTTCTTACCTGCAACATAATTCCTATGAAAGCCCACAACTTGAACATGTGGCAAGGAACAGCAATGCACAGCTGTAGTTGAATTGGACAATAATTCATGACAGTATAAGTAATTCAGAGAACATATAGGGGATTTGAAGGTAGTTAAAAAACACAAACATTATACAGATGAGCAAGACAGAAAACAGAAGGCGGAATGATTCCGATTGACCCTCAGATAATGTTTCAGTTGAAGTTTGCATTGGTGATAACCATGGGGAAGCTCTGGGTCTAGTATGTCATACATTTTCACATTCGAATGTAGTTTTCTGCTCTTTGGCCCAAATCAAATATTATGGTTCATATTGGAAGAATGTAGAGGTTTTCTACCCATGTCCTGACATCAGGACTTATTCTTTACTATGTATGCGCATTTTACTGTTATAACATAATCGGGACTGTTTTATCATCACTATCACCCAATAAAACAAATGGACTAGTTATTAAGATTGAGCTTGATCTCAACTACTATATAAAAGTAAATTACCAACTGTGCACATTCCTGGGTGACGTATGTCTAAATAGCTAACTCTTGCTTGGCTTCTAAGATCTGTGAGTTTTCTAATGAAAGGGCTCAAAGCCATCCTTTCAGTTTCAAGTCCTACTAAGTCCGCCATAAAATCATGATACCGAGTCAGTTTCCAGAACCCCAATCTCCACCAACACTCCCACTTCAAAAAGAGAGATGCTAATTCTCATTCCAGACTACAGATTCAATTAGGAGGGAGATAGAACTAAATAACAACATAAACTCGGAATCAAAGCAATATACCTCATGAAATACAGCAGATACTAGGAAGGCGATTACAATGGCAACTCCCTGAATTGAAAGGAACAAAAATTAAACAAACAACAAATTAAATTTGAGCTTTCTTAAAAAAGAAAGTTCAAATCAGATCCATCACACATCACTTAGATTAAAATAAAGAGAAACTTGTTACCTTTGGTACTCCATGCCGTAGGCATGGAAAATAAATATGGCGAACCATCCATTTATGAACAGGCTGAAATGAACCCAATCAGTATTACACTTTCACTAAGGCATATTATTAGCATAAATGACTAATGAGAACCACAAGGCCACCAGTAAATTCAATATATACACAACAAATGAAGTCTACATTATATTCAAGTACCTCATGGAGAGGAGGGGAGTATAGAATCATGTTAGTTAACAAACTAAACAACAGAAAAGATTTTAAGATATTATTTAACTATCTTTACATGGCAACTTTGATGACAGTGCAATTGGGATGCATCAAGAACCAAATGGACAACAGTCCCATGAGCAACCTAATTATCAAATCGAAGCCAAAATTTGGAACCTGTTACCATCTTAGATTGGCAACCAGTAGATCCAAATAAATGATTTCTCTTAGTAATTATGTATATGGAAAAGAGTAAGGAAACAACTGAATTAGAGTTAAACATACATACCATATTCCACATTCTCCAATACTGATGACAGCCACAGAACCAGAAGAGCCATGCAACAAAAGCGAATAGTCAAAATTTTCAATTCAGCAAAGAGCTGTAATAACATAACCCAATAATAAGTTTCATAGAACACAAAACGCACCTCCTCAACTGTCTTTGCATTCCACCAATCTTTATAGAACTCTCGATCACCAAAACAAAGCAGCTCAGCAAGAATATTTAACCTATATTTGCAACACTGTATGTAAGCATAAGCTAAACAATGAAATTATTTGAAAGTATAAATTTACCATAGCAATGGACGCACCAGAGGTGGAAAAAGCAATAGAACATGCATAGCCACACGTATAAATTGGGAACAGAAAGTTTCAAAACCCTCTCTATTGCATATAAAAGGTTCCCCTTCAAAGGATGTTGTGAATTCTTGACAATAGGATTAATGTACTGCAGAAATATACAGATGTCATAATTCCGCAATAATCAAAGGAAACAAAAGAGCATAGAAAGCTAGTTGAAACAAAAAATTCAAACTTACTTGTTCTACTATAAATCCCATCAGTCCAGTAAAAATTATCAACTTGACAAGTTGACGAAACACCCAACCCTTTCGAACACATACTGTACGAGGGTAACTAGTCTGAAATAACAATGAGCCATATGGAAATACATGAGTTCAAAATAAAAGCAAAGCAAAATTAGAGCTTGTATTGGGAAAAATGCTGCATGCCATTACGTTGGAGCAACCAAGAAGCTTACCTGTCTGCATGACAGTTTATAAATCAAGAAAAACACTTGTTTAGTTTGTGTTACATGCCATAACTGTAATTTTTTATCTTTATAACCAGAAAAATAAAAAGCAAACAAAATGACAAATGCATCAGAACATGTATTACTCCACTTTCTGAATAGGGATTGACAGATACAAAAACATAGTTCAACTCTGAAAGAGAAAAAAGTGTAATTACCTGGTAACATAATGTCGGAGCAACCATGAAGTACGCCAAACTATTTAAGCTAATATTGTGAGGGATATCCGTATTTGAAGAACTGGGCACGGCATCCCCCTAGCATCAGACAAGGACTTTGTGAATTAGAAAACAATCATTTATCAGAAGAAACAGAAGTGTTGAAGAACATTAACGATCTATTCAAGTGGGAAAATATCAAGGAAGAAAGAGAATCAGTGATTTTTTTTAACTTTCTTCAATCCTTATATTAAGTTAAAGAGGGAAAGGGAAAAACTGTTCATTAATTGAAAACCTTCTGAGGAAATTTTTTAGAAGCTCATTGCTACCTTTTCAGTTGATTTGCCAAGTGCTCTCATGTCATAGTTTGTATGCACATAAGAAACGAGCTTTAACCACACGATGCAAGCAAAGAGCATCAACGTAACACCAGATAAAACAGCAGAATCACACCTGCAGAAATTGAAATCACCTAATTAAATACAGCATCTTCACTACTATTCACATATTCCAGAACTAAAAGACCCCATTAATAAAATCCAACAATAGCCTCTCCTATTGAAGCTCGTTATACATTAAGATACAATTTTTCAGACAGTACCACAATATCTTTTTCCATCTACAGAAAGTTCACTAATAGATTAATAGCACTAAAACCTATATTATCGGCAACAACAAAATGATCATCTAATAGAGAGGTTCTTTTATGAGCATGAGAAAAGTGAGCACGCATGCATGCATGTTTGGAGATTGCTAAATGTCATTGTTTTTATTTAAAATCTTAACAATCCAATGGCTCAAAACATCCCTGCTTATGCATGCTCACTTTTCCCGTGCTTATAAGAGAACCTCTCTTAATAGTGATAAAACAAACCCAAATCTTCCTATCAGCCATGGCCAAACAATTTCAACTATAGATGCAAAAAGAAAAACTAATCAGTACGTTCAAACTAACCTGAGAATCACCAAAACTGGATACAAAATTGAAGTTGTGGTAATGATTATATGAAGAGAAACAACAGCCTGCAATGTCAGGCCAGAAATTAATATTGCAAATATACTTGTGAAAATGTACTATTTTGAAGTATTGCCATATGAATTACTCACAGGTTCAGATATAGACTTTTGCAGGGCTAACTTCTCAACTACAAAGGCGGCAAGTGGGAAAATTGGAAGAGTAAGGCTGCAAGTGAAAGAGAAAAAAAAAAGCAGAATAAAGTGGCCACAACCTATAATTTGAAATACTCAAAAATTGAACATGAGAACGAAAAATTAATTAATTCTATAACCAAACAGGGTACCAAAGCAAAACGACAGAAAAATTACCAGCACATAAGAAGGGGCCAATCTCGCAATGATCTTGAACTAAACCAAAAACCAGTTTTAATTAACCAACCATACTGCAACAATAATTAAACCATAAGGCATCTATAAAAAAATTCCGCTAAACGGCATGAAGTTAATCAAAACAAGGATACAGGCATATGGCAAACCTTCATTAAATTCTCGATGATAAGCCTGCTGTTTACAGCAACAAGCACTACTATACACAGGTTGAAGAGACCTGCATGGCTCTGCTTAAAAAAGAAGTAAAACTAAGAATTAGCACCGCGCTCACACACAACTCAATGCTAACAGACCAGAACTTGTTTCCGAGCAAAACACCTTTTCATTACTAAGAAATTTCAATAGCATTTCACAATTTTCATCATGCGAAACGAAAGAAATTGTCTTTAACAATGAAGTGAAATTAAGCTAAATAAGGCCTAAGTACCTGTCTGAAGATGGCATCAGAGCTGAGAGGGCTCTCTTTGACTCTTCGATGAGCTGGAACCGAAGGCCGATACGCGAATTTCGCAGCCGAAGGATCGACGCCTCGATCATTTTCGCCGAGTCCTTTATTGTCTTGGACAGCATTGACCGAATCCATAGAAGCTTCCGAGCCTCCAATACGACCGTTATCGCCGGGTTCGCAGATCTTGGCGGTCACCGAGTCGTCACTGCCGGAGTCTCTGACCAAATCGTTCAACGTACTGTCGTCTTCTTCGGTCTTGGAGCCGGAATCGGCTACATCTCTAGGTACAGTTGTGGCGGCGGCGGGCCTGCGTCGGAGAGTGTGGGTGAGATCCGAGTCGGTGAGAGAGCTCGTGCTGGTGCCTGTGATGCCTATGGTCTCAGGCGAATCTGAAATCGCCATGAAATGGAAGAACCGCAATATAAGATAGCTTTGTGTGTATATATATATATATTATATATAAACGTGAGAGAGAGAGAGGTGAATTTGAGAGCTTGCTTAGGATGCTGGAGGGCCCTGAAAGTTCATGCAGAGACGGAGAGAGATATTTGAAACGAATTAAGAGAAAAGGAAGGGTGAGCAGAGCCCGGAGCAAGAAATTTCGAGAAGTGGCGGTGAATGAGTGGGAAAGGCAAGCGGTTTTTTTATAAAAAGCGACGAACAATTAAGAAAGAAACAGAGAGAAGAGAGAGAAAGAGTAGGGATTTTTTTTTTCTTCTGGTGTAATGGTAATGATGTCAGAGGAGGGAAGGGTGAAGTTGATGGCGGTAGGAGTGAGTGAGCCAAAAAAACGACAACAGAAATTGAGGAAGCAGCCGCGCTTTGGTTATGGCGTTTCACAAAAACAGTGTCGTCGTGTAAGGCTGTTACAGAGGAGAGCGGCAGACCTGGTCCGCTGGAGCTCTACACATCAAATCCAACCGCTTCCCGGTCCTTCCTTCCTTCCCTCCCGCTACCCCACATCCACAAATTAAGACATTATTAAATGTTAATTATTCTAAATTTATTTTACTAGCCCAATATAATTAGATCAGCAATCAAATAAGCTGCTGATTTTGAGGTACCCTTTTTATCTTACACGTCAACTACTTAGTTTAATCATCCCGTACTCCTGATTAAATCGTGGAAATGGATACATTTTATTTCAAAGAAAAACGCTATTCTAAACCAACAATACTAGGTATATCACATTTATATACCACCTCTCTAATAGAGGTGAAATTCAGCAATACAATGGGATCCACCTCTATAAAAGAGCTAGTGATATGACTATCCCTTTATATTCTAAACTATCTAATCTATATTCGAGCTCTTCAACTATTAATGATTAAATGACTTAATTAACATCAGAATCTCATTTTTGGGTTTCGATTTGTTGTTGCATTACATATTTAATAACATTTTTGGGTTTCGATTTGTTGTTGCTTTGCATATTTAATAACGTGACGCTAAGAAAAGAATGATTATGATGGAAAGGGACAAAGGGTGGGTGAGGTACCGTACATGTGAAACGTTGTTTTAATATTTATTATAGAGTCAAAGACGCGGTTGAAGTTCTTCTAATTCTTGAGGCTAACCCTGAACAAATTGGATGTTGTTGACTCCACAACATTAGTTATATAACCGTGACCACTGACCACGTCACATCTCACGAGAAGTTTCCACGTAGGGGGGTAAAGTTTGGTTCAAATGAATCTTTATTATAATAATAATCAATAGACTCCACCTGGCCGACACACCAACAGTCGTGACAAAAAAAGATATCAAGCTTAAGAAAAGGCCTTTTTTTTCTCATGGAAGGGGGGCACTTATCTTCCTCCTATAAGAAATGAGAAGGCCGTGCCTCATCTTACCATATTCTTCAAATCATGCCTAAATAAGGTAAAGTGAAAAAAGCTATGGATAGAATAAAGGCAATAGCAACTTGTCTCTCTCTCTCTCTCTGTGTAAAGACATTTGGAGAAAGTTGCTTCGTTTTGCCAACAATTCTACAAAACTAGCTTTTGACCATCCATTACAATCATCAAATCACAACAGCCATCAAAAACCAAAATTAAAACATCAAAAAATACATACATATTAGTAGCTAGAAGATATGTTATGCAACAACAGTTGCTACCACAACCGATCAAGGCAATGATGGTTTTCACATTGCAAGTGTACTTGTACCACTTAAAATAGTATCCAACAACCATAAATTATAAAGAACTAGACCTATAATAATGATAAGATAATAATAATAATAATAGGAGAAGACGCAAAATGGTGGATGTGGCGGCTGGAACGACCAAAAACAGAAAATAAACTTCAAACAAAACAACACTTACTACTAAGCAGAAACCAGATTTTCCTTGGTAATTTTCTAAAGAGGACAAAATCTCATCAGAGGAGATCAGCAACATTCGATGGCAGCTCCTCCACAAGCACGTTATAGAACTTCTGGATGTCAAACAGCATCCTCTCATCATCCTTTGTTACAAAGTTGATGGCAACACCCTTCCTGCCGAATCGTCCACTACGCCCAATTCTGTGGAGGTAGTTCTCTGGCTGGGTAGGCAGATCATAGTTTATAACAAGGGAGACTTGCTGAACGTCAATACCACGAGCCAGAAGATCAGTGGTGATCAAGACACGAGATGACCCAGAACGGAACTCCCGCATGATGATGTCTCTGGTGTTCTGGTCCATGTCTCCATGGGTGGCAGAAACTGTATGGTCTCGGCTCCGCATTTTGTCAGTCAACCAATCAACCTTGCGTCGAGTATTGACAAAAATGACACTCTGGGTAATGGCCAAAGTTTCATAAAGATCACAAAGAGTCTCAAGCTTCCATTCCTCCTTGTCAACATTGACATAAAATTGCTTTATACCCTCCAGGGTGAGTTCATCACGCTTCACAAGAATCCTCACAGGTTTGTTCATGAACTTCCTTGTGATCTCAAGGGCCTCAGGTGGCATTGTGGCAGAGAACACCCCAACTTGAATCTTTGATGGCAGAAGCTGAAATATATCATAGATCTGGAACCACCACAAAAATGCATTTCGCATCAGATAAAATTTTAATTACAAAATCACATTGATTTCAGCAAACCAAGGAAACTGAAATGAAAGCCATATAATGAAGACATACAATGGTGGAGCAAAACTGCTACTGACTCGGCATATTTGTCGTTCTGGAATTTCAATTAATTAGTTCATGTATGTTTTAATGCATTACAGTTCTTACCCATATTAATAGATAATACTGCATACATGATTTATCCTTGCATATGAGAAATCCATTATTCACATACAACCTCATTATGCAGAACATGCATTCACTAGTCATAAAGCGCATAAAACAGACAGACACATCATTGGGTTGGAAAAATACCTGATCCTTGAAACCTCGGGAAAGCATCTCATCAGCCTCATCCAAAACAAACATTTTGATGTTATCGGGACGAAGTGACTGTCTTCTTAGCATGTCAAAAACACGACCAGGAGTGCCCACAACAACATGAACCCCATTTGACAGAATGCGCTGGTCTTCACGAACACTGGTTCCACCAACACAAGCATGGACCCTCACACCCAGATAGTCTCCCAGAGCCCTCATGACCTTCTCAATCTGTTGAGCAAGCTCTCGAGTTGGGGCAAGAACCAAGGCCTGGCATTCTGTCAAACCATAATCAAGCTGTTGAAGAATACCAGAACAGAAAGTCGCTGTCTTCCCAGTTCCAGACTGAGCCTGTTGAATAACATCAAGACCCTTGCAGAATGGAACAATTCCCCTTTGCTGAATAGCTGAGGGTTTTTCAAAACCTGCAAAACGGAATTACAGTGAATTCAATCATTCACCAGTCTAGAGAAAACACAGCCATAAGACAAATGGAAAACTCCGTGAAGATATTAGAGTACAAAAATGTTAGGATTCTTCCTCTTGTCATAAACAATATAACATACTAAAAAGAGGAAAAAAAAAGTTATGGCTATATGTACCGTAAGCATAAATGCCCCTCAGAAGATTCTCTTGCAGACCCATAGAATCAAAACTATCATAAACTTCATCATATGATGTAAAGAATTCCTGCCCATCAGTTGCAAGTCTGTAGCCAATTCACCAAGCATGAGAGAAACAGTTACCAACCAGTTTTGAATCCTTATGAAAACTTTTAACCATAAAATAAATACAAGAAAAGAGTAAAAGACGCATACCCACATCACTACCACCAAAATGCAAGAATAAATACAAGAAAAGAGTAAAAGCTTCATAGGCACCTAAAAAGCAGTTTAAAAGTAGAAAAATGAGAGTACGAATCTTACAGCTCAGTCATTTTGGAATCATACTGACGAGTATCAAATTGTGATCCTTCTGGAGCTGCCATGACTGCAAAAGTACCAATAATAGTATAAGAGAAAAACATCACCAATCTTCTCAACCAGTACAAATTGTGTGAAAATTAAGCAAAAATAACAATGATGTCCATGCTAATGCTAGTTCGAATTATACAGTAACTCAGATTTTCTCACATTTCAATAATTCAATGATTTCTTCAAGAAAAATATTAAACAGCATTTGGCACTCCCTTCTCTAGAAGGGTTTAAGAACTTCAAACACAATTTTGTATAAATAACATCCATGTATGACTAACTATTAACTACCATATAAACGTAATAACATAAACCACACTGTGAGAAGCAATAAACAAAACTTAAAACAATATTAGCTGCAATAGTACGAAAATTTCAAAGATCAGAAGCATTATAAAACTTGTAGTAACAACTACTTAAGAAAACGTTACAATTCACATCAAATACATGGAGCACAGGCAACATATTGAAAACGAGAAAGAACTACAAGAGTTTTCTGAAATTATTTCTCAAATTTTAATAGCAAAACTTATTTTATCCTATACAACCGAAACAACAGAACTTAGACGACTATGCTCAATAGTGAAAAACAAATATTTCAACAACAACAAAACCAACAGAAGAAAATAAACAGCAAATCAACATCAACGAACACAAGCCAATTCAGAATACAGAAATTTATGGTAAGAAATAATCGTGAAAAAAAAAAAGAGAGAACCGGATCGAACAACCACGCGAGTAAAAAAAAAGATGGATTTATAAGGAGAAAGGTATGCGAGGAAGACCTGCCGATGATCGGTGAGAAGGTGAAAGCGAAGAGAGAGCGACCGAAGAGAGCTTTGGTTTGTTTTCTGAAAATTAGGGTTTCCCAAACTCCTCGGATCTAAGCCGCGGAGTTAAGGAATGAGCGAGAGAGAGACAGAAAGAGAGAGAGAGAAAGTTTTGTGTTTGACAAGTGAGTAAACTAAGCGAGTGAGGGTTGATTATTGTATATGCGATTCGAGGGAGTATGGTCTTCGCGTCCCTCCAGATTCGATTCGGGCACGTGGCGCTCACGGATTGGAAGGAATGGAATAGGAGTATAAAACGGACTCTGTTTCCTCATAAAATTAGTGCACGAATATATGGGCCTGGATTTGGAACGGGCTAATGCCCAAACACAACCTCATGGTAAATTTTTTTTATAAACAACGTGAGCTACAAATCTATTACAACCTCCCGTATATTATTAACAACGTGAGCTACAAATCTATTACAACCTCCCGTATATTGGTATAGTAATTTTCCCGGCTTTCAAAATGCACCAAAATATTTGATCACATCCGTCTTTGAAAAGAATTTTTTTTAAATACCCTGAATATGCAAAAGAACAAAAACAAAAAACAAAAAGGTAAAGAAAGGTCATCGATAGCTGGCCCCTTTAATTCATAGATTATATGTAAACTTGGAACATCAAAATCATGTACTTACACCTTATTGTCTGAAAACTTTTTTCTTGTAGTGGTAAAAATGGGCCAATAACATTTACAACAAGGCTCGAACCAATTTTACAGTTTCAGCAAACTGTGAAAACTCTCAGCACATCAAGCTTTACATGGTTCTTACAAGGTTATCCACCACAACTTTTCCAAGGACCATGCAATTGCAATTGGATTTTACCACCCATTAAGTTTGAAATGCTTTTGCAGCCTACTCTTCTTTCAAGAGCCCACTGTAACAGATAATTGAACTCTATCTAAACACATCGGCAGCTGAAAGTGCACAAGTGGCTTCCGAACTGCGAAATAATGTCAACAAGACCTCCGTAACCTCCTACTGCTGTAACCTGAACAAAACAATGGTTCAATGGGATGAGAAGTGAAAATAGAATTTGATAAGTGATGAAGTTAAAAACCTCTTTCAAGTTCTTTTTTTTGAAAAGAGACTATTATTCAAAAAACAACACACACCAACAAAACAGGAGATGGCCAAGGAGGCCACCACACAATTAGAAAGGTAAAACTCTACACTACATAGCTACCGCTTTCCAATCTAGATGGATGAGCTGGAAACTAAACTCCCTAAACTCTGCTGAAACAGAAGCCCAAAGAGAGCCCCAGACTCGGATACGATCCCACAGCTGCTCAACCTCATCCCCAACCACATCATCAAAGATTCTCCTATTTCTTTCCCCCCAAATAACCCAGAAGATTGCCATCATGGCGCAATTTCCCAACACTGAGCCCTTCCTCTTACCACCAAAGAAATTCAGCCTAGTTTCAAGCATCGCACTACATGTTGCGAAGGGACCCCACGATAATCCTGCCACCTTAAATAGCTTAGCCCACAGGGATGAGGCAATAGGACAAAGCAAAAACAGATGGTCCACAGTTTCACTGTCTTTTTTGCACATAACACACCAGTTAGGAGAGAAGTACCAGCCTGGTCTTTTCCTTTGGACCAAGTCGCATGTATTAATTCTGCCATGAGCGATTAGCCAAACTAATAATCTTACCTTAGGAGGGGCTTTAGCTTTCCAAATTACAGTGGAGGGAGAGAAGAGAGGTGGTTGGTGATTAACCATTAGGTGCCTAGAGAAAGAGAGGTGGTTGGTGATTAACCATTAGGTGATTAACCATCTTTGTGTAATAACTTTAACCCATACCATGGTCCTCAGCATGCTCCTTCATTAATAATATTGTCATTAGCTTCTAAGTACATACATTTTGGTTTGCTCTAGCCACACCTATTGTTTATAGCAAAGATAGAATCTACACACTCCTTTAAAAACATGATTTGGATCATTTGTGTCACTGGACCTACTTTGAAATACATACTTTTCAAAATTTCAAATCAAAGGATAGTGCTGGTAACTTAGCACCTAGTGGTAAACCTATAAATCTGAGCAAGTTGGTAAGACCAACATTCTTTAAAAGAAAAAAAAATTCAAATATTATTGACAAAAAACAAAGGGAAAGATAGATCAAGTTAAGCATACCCCAGATGCATGTAATGAGATGGAAAAGGCTGACTGAGGAGCACATTGCATTTGTGAAAGGATCGCCCCGTTTATATCATAACGGCAAAGTAGAGGTTCTGCTCCAACTGCTAATACCTGGAAAGGAGAACCAACAATAAACTTTAGGATATTGGTTTTCCTTTGTGCTTCCTTTCTACAAACTAGGTGTTTCTTTAGGAGTTAAACAGGCAACCCCATAGATATAATGTATTCTTCTACCAATTGCTCCCCATCAATAAAATAAAAATTAAAATTAAAATTAACATACCAATTCCAGCCCCTTTCCTTGGGATGAATATTTAATAACAGTATCCTTATTTGCTGATATCTTAACAATGCATCTTATCCCGTTAAGAAGTTAGTTTACTAGTTTAATGAATTTAAAACGACCATAGTTATTGGTCCACACCCTTTTCTCTTGGAACTTAAAAGTTACTTCTTTTTTTAGTAACACTAGGTGCCTAACTAAGTTCAGTTACAGAGGGCGGCAACGGGAGCTCACTTGATTTTCGTCGAATACTACATCCTGTACAGATGCACGAGTTGAAGTCCTTGAAATGCATTCAGAAGCAGGAAGATTCCAAACTGACAAACTCCGACCACTACCACAAGCCTACAGAAGAAAAAACATTTAGTAAATCATAGCAGCAAGCAACTTCAACAGAGTGCAATGCAATGACATTACCATCACATAAATGCTTACCAACCAGCTTTCACTTGCATCAAGAGCCATGCAACTTACGCATGAAAAAAATCCTTTCAATTTAGTACCCTTCGCTGGCTCATACACTTGAACACACTTTCCACTTTTGCAATCTGGGTAAAACCATAAACACATGTTACTAAGAACAAGCCCATGTGACTGGACATTTAACACAATGAAGTGGTGGTCAAAGACAGGAACATACTAACTATGAAAGAAAACAATAACTTTTTTGATGGAAAATTATTCTTCTGAACAACTTTCTGCCACAATCCTTGAAAATTAAAAAATGCTAGGTTTTTACCCCATATACGTGCTGTCCCATCCTCTGAACCAGTTATGATCTGATTGGTAGAGTTCCGGGCAACTATAGAATGCAAGTAGTCTGAGTGCCCCTTAAAAGTCATTTTGACTTGACCACTTTCCTGAAACATTTCCGATACAAATCATGCCGGGATCAGTGCGGCTAGGAAATTATGACAAGAACAATGTAACATAATGTATGGTAACATGTACATGCTTTTACACAAAAACTTCATTGCACAAGTGAAAGATTCACCTTGAACAAATACATACCACATCCCAGCAATAGACACAAGAATCACCAGCAGCAGAAAAAATGGATCCCCCCTATTGTGGTAAAAGAGATGTTAACACACTATTTTCCATGCTCATAAAAGAAGAAACTATATGACTAAAACAAAAGCATACCTGATCATTAATGGCAAGAGCATTGTTTTCAGGGATTGGAGATAAAGCCCCCCAAGGACCTCTAAAAACACAGTAGTAAAATACAAGAAATGTGAACTAAAGTAATGTCGGGGACTAATCATAGCCCATGTTATAAGGCAGAAAGACATATGTCCTTGTTTAGAAGATTCTTATTCAGGTTATGAAATTCAGGGGAATGAAAGAGAGGACCCTGAGAGTCTTTTCTTTTCAGTGACTTACTTATGCTGCGGATTCACCAGGTCGAGTAGTAGCTTCACATGGTTTCCTACAAAAGCAGGAAGAAACAATGTGAATAATATAAATTTACAGAATTAGAATCAAATTCAATTTTCATGAACCAAAGCAACATACCAAATTAAAATAACAATGCGATGTTAGTGGACTAATTCTAATTCACATGGTATGGTAAGCTGTCAAAAACCTAAATCACCTTGCAAATGAATAGGCGCCTCTGCTTCTACACAATCCTTCCATTTCCATCCTCGAATCCGACCATCGTCACCACAACTAAGTGTCAAAATTCCGAGAAAATCAATAGTGTAAATATGACGAAATTAAGAAATTACTCAAAAAAAACTGATCAGAATAGTATAAGCGTATAATTGAACCTCAGCAAAACAGCATCCTCGCCATGGCCGTAAAACTTAACATCGTATGCAGGGCCTTCGTGAGCTTGAAGGAAGCAAGCAGGTTCAGCCATTAACGAGCTACAAATTAAATTCAAATTCCACCACATGTAAAACCAACATCAGCTGCTGTCAATAGTCAATACGACATCATAGAGTTACAAAAATACTTACTGTGGAGCTTTCACATTGCTAAAACCCAGTGGCTGCAACAACAAAAAAAGCCATAAAAAGCTTTAAACAAAATGAATATTGAAAAAAAGAGATTTGGAGGAAAATGAGAAACATACGGGCTTGGAGACGAGGGAGGGGATGGAGTATGAAGAAACCGATCCATCGCTGGAGGCGACGACGATGGCGTCCGGGTTAGGGTTAAGGGATGGAGCCCAAACGGTTCGGAATACGGTTCGGGTTTGGATCTCCCTCTCCTTCAATATGGTTTCTCTGTATGATTCTTCGTCCCAGTTCCTTGCGTCCCCGCACATGGTGGTTTGGTTGTGGAAGACTGGCCGTTGAGTTGAGCTCTGTGAAATCTCTGAGCTTTCTCACTGACTCACTGAGCGTTAGCTGGTGGAGCTGAAATCAAACATGGACTTGCCGGTTTGGCGCAAATCAAAAACAATTCGGCTGGACAAGGAAGGATGCTTGTTAATGGGCCTTTCTCCTTGTAAATTTAGAGTGGGTCCTATGTGTTATAGGCCCGTGTCCTCCGGAAAAAGTTTACAAATCCGACGAACCGACCGAATCCCTAATTCATAATATATGGAATAACTTTTCGACAAAAAAAATAAATAAAAAATAGAATAACTTTATTGTACAGTACACATTCTCTTTATCTCACTTCTTACGCGTGACACTAAAGTTTCTTTCCTAATCCAAATTAAAAAGTATATTAATACGAATTGAGAAATCTCAACCAAACAATTTTAAAATTTCAAATGACTTATGTCTAATTCCTTCCGGGAAAAAAGAACTTGTAGTAAAGTAAAACATTAAAATAATGTATATTGAACCAAGGTGGTTGGTGTGAGTAGTTCGGCACTCTCATTCCTTAAGAGAGGTCAGGGGTTCGATCCCTGCTCTCGTACGGAGTCACCACTTTGGCCAACACTTTACCCCTTATGGGCCGACCCGGTGTGAGTGGGGATTAGTCTGGATTGTGGTTAAGGCTTAAAGGTGCCACCCATAATTTGGGGCCATCCAGGACTAGCTCATGGTTCAGACCAAAATAAAATAAAATAATGTATATTGTTTTGCCTTCATGTTATATGAAATTATCGTAAACTTAACTTATAATGTCAAAACAAAAGTATAAAGATAAATGTGATTATCATGTTAAACATAAACTCATCCGTTAAAAACACATGTCATTATCATTTAAATTTGTTATCGACTCAACTCGAACTGTATTGTGTTTTATTGTGTCGTATTAATAGTGAAAAACTTGGAGAAAACACAGGCATTATGAAAGGGTTCTTGATATTCACTCAATAAAAAAGGAATAATCATTTTCTTCTTGGATTGACAATAAAAATTAAAATAATAAAATAATAAAATAATAAAATAAACAGAAGCGGAGGGCAGCAATTCGGGCGCATATGCTAAAGTCCTCGTTGGTTAATACGCTCGGGAAACCCATACAACACACGCACTTCTCGTATTCTCCGAACCCCAGCGGCATCTTCAAAGCCGCTTGCTTTCACCAAAAGCCCTAGAGATTCTCATTCATCTACGACAAACCCAAATCAAAATCAAGATCTATGAAGCTCTAATCAGAAGAATCTCAAGGTATCGCAAGCTCGTCTGCTGTAACCGTGAGTGTATTTCTAGCTCTTCGTCTTGAATTTAACAGATCTGTTAGCTTACTGCTGAATTGTGTTTTGAGATTTTCAATACTTGTTCGTATGAAGTTTTATAATTATGGGTCGTTTTGAACCTAGGAAAAGGATTAGAAAAGAAAAGGCTTTGGGGTTTTATGGGAAATTGTTGCATCAGGTGTAAAAAAAAACTGGTGTTGAACTGTTGCTATGCTAATTTTTCCCAGATGATCTAATGGGTTGTTTTTGTTTTGTTTTGTCTTAATTTGAATTGGTTGTTTTTGTGCTTCAGATAACAAATACTTTCATTTAGGAATCTGAGTCAATTAAGTAGTTGCAATGGGTGATAACAACAATTCTCCACCTGGGTCTCCTAAGGAGGCAGATCATGATTCTGATGCAAACCAAATTGTTAAGGATGATAGCTCACTGGAAACCATAGTCCGAAAGTTCCAAGATTCAATGTCTGTTGGGAAAAGGCACGCATTTTGGGAGACTCAACCTGTTGGACAATTTAAGGATCTCGGGGATGTCAGCTTGGCTGAGGGCCCGATTGAGCCCCCCACACCGTTGTCTGAGGTCAAACAAGAGCCTTACAATCTTCCGACTCAGTATGAATGGACCACATGTGACCTGGACTCTGAAGATACCTGCACTGAGGTCTACAATCTGTTGAAGAATAATTATGTTGAGGATGATGAGAACATGTTTCGATTCAATTACTCAAAGGAGTTTCTCAGGTGGGCTCTGCACCCTCCTGGGTATTTTAGGAGCTGGCATATTGGTGTTCGTGCAAAGACTAACAAGAAGCTGGTTGCTTTCATTACTGGTGTTCCTGCTAGAATCCGGGTCCGTGATGAGATAGTGAAAATGGCTGAGATTAATTTCTTATGTGTGCATAAGAAGCTTAGGTCGAAGAGACTTGCACCTGTTATGATCAAGGAGGTCACAAGGAGGGTTCATTTGGAGAATATATGGCAAGCAGCTTACACAGCTGGAGTAGTTCTTCCAACTCCAATAACAACTTGCCAGTACTGGCATAGGTCTTTGAACCCAAAGAAGCTTATTGATGTTGGGTTTTCAAGGCTTGGTGCTAGGATGACTATGAGCCGAACCATAAAACTGTACAAGTTACCAGATTCACCAGCTACTCCTGGATTCAGGAAAATGGAACTTCGTGATGTCCCTGCTGTAACTCGGTTGCTTAGAAACTACTTGAGCCAGTTTGTGGTTGCACCAGATTTTGATGAAAATGATGTGGAGCATTGGCTTCTTCCTGAGGAGAATGTGGTGGACAGTTACTTGGTCGAGAGCCCAGAGACTCATGAGGTGACTGACTTCTGCAGCTTCTACACTCTTCCTTCGTCTATCCTCGGCAATCAGACCTACTCAATCTTGAAGGCTGCATACTCCTATTACAATGTCTCCACTAAGACTCCACTGCTTCAGTTGATGAATGATGCTCTTATCGTAGCAAAAAAGAAGGATTTTGACGTCTTCAATGCACTGGATGTCATGCAGAATGAGTCATTCTTGAAAGAGCTCAAGTTTGGACCTGGTGATGGGCAACTTCACTACTACCTCTATAATTATCGGATGAGGAATGCATTGAAACCCTCAGAGCTTGGGCTAGTACTCTTATAGTTTTTCCAGTCTTTGGTTTTGCACTGTGAACTGAGAAATTATTTCCGTTTCTGTTTTTCCCCCTATTTTGTGGCTAGCTAGCTGATGCTTTCATTTGTCTTGCTCCTTTGGATCATCAACAGAGAATGAGATGTTGGCAATTACATCTTAAACATTTTCCCTTATTTGATTCCTTTTGCCTCTTCAATTTCATAATCGTTTATGTTTTCTGCAGTTCAGTTGCATAACGAAGCTGAGGGCCTTAGGCTATTTTATTATTTTCACTTGGCGCTACAATGAGATGGAAGACCACATATAACCGATAATCAAATTCACACTCATTTATGTTTAGCAAATTTTGGCGAACTCCTGGTCTGTTCTCTCTGTCACGCAGGGGTAATTCGAAAACCAAAAAAATAAACAAACAAACAATTCCATCATAAAAAAAACGAAATAAATTCATCACTATTAAGCTATAGTTTTATGATTAAATGAAAAGATAAAATTACATCACTTAAAACCTTTGAAATTTTCCAACCAAAAAAAATATATATATGTATATAAACCGCGTGATCCTTGATAGACAGATAATTCAAAAACCATTCTCCATCACCAGCCACCAGGTCCAGTCGAGGTGTAGTATAATAATAACTATTATTATTAGGAAAATGAGCAAAAAAAATATTTTGGCTTGGTTGCACCTCAGGAGTGAATGGAAGTATAGCGAACTAAATTTACAAGTTCTAATCACAGGTGTCATCTTCCAATTGGATAAGACAGGGATTCATATCTCATGCCATCAGCAGAACTTCACCTTCTGAACCTGTCAAATTAGGAGGTATGTCAACATATAGTCAAAATGAAGTGCAAAAGCTATGCAAAAGATAAGACACAACAATTGGGAAGTTTGGGTGTTACATTTCTCAAGAATCTCTGCTGCGAACTGCAGCGTTGATTGTGCTTCTTCAGCCATCTCTGACAACCTCTCAGACTCTTTCACTGCTTCTGCTGCCACAAACGATTTGTTTTCGGCATCAGCAATCTTGTAGGCTGCCACAGCCCATTCCTCTGTCGGATGGATGTCCTTTTGTTTTGGGGCTTTCGTCCTGTAGCAATTTTGAATCTACATTTTGATGACATGGTAACTTAAATGAGTTGATATTCAATGTCGGTTTCAGCTTGCAATGTAATCTGGCCAGCAACTAGCTACAATGTTAAGTTGCAATCAAGCATAAAAAAATCGAAATAAAAAGGTGCGCAGAAAAACATAGATTTAGCCATTTAAAATTGCTAGTTGCAAACAAACATACCATTGATAGAGCCAGATTAATCCTGGGTTAGAAACATATACATACAATGATTAAATTTGAGCCGAAAAATATATAACCAATCACCTTTTCAAGTTTCTCTTGGTGAACCAGCCTTCTCAACCTATTACTTAATGACCTTCTAAAATTTGGGGGGATTTCATTCCTTTGCTGCACAAATCGTTTTCAAATATCATGAAAATTGAGTAGTAATAAAAATTAAATTAACATTTACAAGGGTAATAAACATTCGATAACACCTCATGACAATGTAAAGGCAGTAACAAGCAGGTAACATCATTAGAGACATCCAAAAACAATGTCAATAGGAAGCTTTTCTTTGTAAATTCTTTACAGAAAATTGTGTTCTCACCATCAAAATGAGCTCGACTGGTATTGAAATACCAGCTTAGATTTAGGTATTATCAATCAAGTAGCTAAATGAGATAGAATAGATATGTTGGTCTTCTAACAAAATGCTATATTTTCAAGAAGTAAAATTAAGTAAAAGTTTTTTCAGCTCTAGCATAAGGACACATGATGTACCATGATTAATTGAAAAATGAATCTACAGGAGTTTATAAAGAATCAAAATATTATCATTTCACGACAATTTTCTTTCCCTTCAAAGTACGAATATACAGCTTCCTCCATAGTAAACCAAGATATATTTTGTTTCATTTTGTTAAGACAAGAAAGAAAGCATATATTTCAAGTGTACCTCAATAAAGCTAGCAATAGCACCAGAGTCCAATCCATTTGGCCCTGTTGAGGTAGAAAGTGCTTCAAAAATCATTGCATCATACCTAATAACAGAAGAAGATGATTGACCAAAATGAAATTGACTCGAAGAATAGGAGTAGCT